TCTTCCTTCTGAGGAGTGGCTGGTGGGTTTGAACCGCCAGCCTTCTCGTTAGCAGTCAAGTGCCTTAGCCACTATGCTACCAGAGCTCCCAAATTACATTCTAGGCCTTCAAAAATGACCCTTTTCATCTCTATCCAGCTCTTCTCAAAATATCTTAGTCACTGCACACTCTCCTGTGGCTCTGAAGGTGCCCAAATGTGGCACATGGGGCTGGAGAGAAAGCAGAGCCTCTGCCCTGGTTGGGTGGGGGAGCACAGGGGAGAAAGCCCAACTGGCTAAGGGTAAGGGAGGCAAGAGGAACAGCCCTAGGAATAAGGGCCTTCTGGAATCTGAGCAGATGGGTGGTACCATCCCATCTGAACCACCAAACCAATGGCTCTCCTCCTTGCTCCTTCCAATGTATTTGGTACTTGCTTGAAGTAACTTTTGCCTTTTAAGTAGTGTCCAAGGAGCTCTGGCGGTACAATGGTTAAGGGCTCAACTATTAACCAAAAGGTTGGTAGTCCGAACCCACCAGCTGCTCCACAGGAGGAAAAAACCTGGCAATCTACTCCTGTAAAGATTATAGCCTAGGAAATCCTATAGGACAGTTTTACCATAGGGTTGCTATGAGGCAGAGGAGCTCTGGTGGTGTAGTGCCTAAGGTATTTGACTGCTACCAGAAGGCTGGTGGTTCAAACCCACCAGCCACTCCTTGGAAGGAAGGCTGGGCAATCTACTTCCATAGTGATACTGCCTCAGAAACCTAAGGAGGGGTTGCTATGAGTTGGGTCTGACTCAATGGCAGTGAGTTTTATGAGTCAGAATCAATTTGATGGCACCCAACGACGACAACGAATAGTATCCACATCTAAACGTGCCCCAAATTTCCTGGAAAGCCCCAATTTCATGCAACATTATTTATTTGGTTTGATAAATGTAATTTAGTTTTATATTTGTATAACTTTTTCTACAGACACATTAGTCCAGTGAACATAGTAATCCATGCCTGGCTTTTGCTCTAAAAAGTATCAATACTGTAAGATGAGGAACTTGATAAAAGTCACCTTTTAAAAATAGACTTTTTTAGTCCATAACTATGTAAGGCATAATAGTTGATTCTTGATTTCTCATACTGTGTATACTGACTTTATAACCTTTAAGGATTAAAACAGTGGAAGAACTGATAGTGGTGATGGCTGTACAACATGAGGAAAGCAATCAATGTCAATCAATGTCACTGAATTGTCCCTCTAAAAGATGTTGAAATGGCTAACTTGTGGAGATATATCAAGGAAAAAGAAAAAACCAAACCCCTAAATAATCAAATATGAGTCTTTCTGGAGCTCAGCTCTGCACTGGGGACTAGAACCACCTTGAAAGCATGGGAGGAAAGACCTTTCAGACTTGGGATTGCAGAGCTTGGCTCTGGCCTTCCTCCCCCAGGTCTCAGCCCTTGCTCCTACCTGCAGGTAGTGTTGTGGTGGCTGCTGCTGCTGGGCCTGTGTAGGCTGCAAGGGTGATGGCTGGGAGGTGGAGAAGCTGGGGTGAAGCACTGCTTGTCCCATAAGCAGGACAGGGGTTGAGGCGCTGCTGCTGGATGTGTGCACGTCTGGGTTTTGAAACACTGCCTGGCTCTGTTGATACCTGTGTGGATTAACATGGGAAGGAGAAAACAGATCATTAAGAAAGAGTGTTGATGATTACGGCCCATTAGCAAGGGGTGGGTAGTACAAATACCAGTTGCCACTAAGTTTATTCCAACTCATGACAACCCCATGTGTGTCAGAGAGCTGTGCTCCATAGGGTTTTCAAGGGCTGGTTTTTCAGAAGCAGATTGCCTTTCTTTGGAGTTGCCTCTGGGTGGACTCGAATCACCAACCTTTCGGTTAGCAGCTGAATGCTTAATTGTTTGCATCACCCAGCAACTCCAGGAGGGTGGGATGGGAGGAAGGGTGCTTAGGAACACTCTGGGAGGTTATGGACAAGGAGTGGATTTTTAGGGACACTATAGAATATCTTCTTTCTGAGGAGTGGCTGGTGGGTTTGAACCACCAGCCTTCTGGTTAGCAGTCAAATGCCTTAGGCACTATACCAGCAGAGCTCCTATATAACATGGAGAATACACACACACACACACACATATATATATATATAGCATTGTATTTTTATTTTGAGAGACGTTATTTCTCTATATGGAGTCATTTGTGACAGATACTGAGGGTTCTGAACTTCCTCTGAAGAGGCCCGTGTGTGTGTGTGTGTGTGTGTGTGTGTGTGTGAGGCAGGCCCTGATGCACCCTGGAATATGGAGCTGTTACATCATGTCTGGAAGAGACTGGTAGGGGTGAGGGTGTAAATTATTGGGTTGACTGAAAATGGTAGTTAGCATTCCCAGAGTACAGAATTTCTGTTTTTGCCTAGTTCACTACATTTTAAGCATCTCTGGAATCTTTGTTTCTACTTATTTGGATCAAGAAAGAACAGGCAAAAACCAAAACTAAAACCAAAACAGCCTTGTATAAATGAGAACTTCAAAGAGAATTTTAAAGAAGGCTCCGGGCAGTCTGTGTTCCTCATCTCACCATCCCATGACTAAAGAGAAGGACAGAAAGTAGAGGAGACAAGGGCTAATGAGATTGTTGTCAGGAGGCTGTGGGAAGACCCCAGATAGGGTCATCAAGGAGGGCTTTGAAGACTGAAGGAAGTCAGATGGGGCCTGTGCCCTGGAATCAGATGGCCTATGGCTCTGCTGTGTGTGCCTTTGTGAAGGTAACTGAACTTGTTGCTTAGGTGCTGTCAAGTTGATTCCAATTCACAATGACCACCTGTGACAGAGGAGAAAGGCCCCATAGGGTTTTCTTGACTATAATCTTTATAGAAGTAGATTGCTCGGTCTTTCTCCTGTGGAGCCACTCGGTGGATTCAAACCACCAACCTTTTGGTTACCAGCTGAGTGCTTAACCATGATGCCACCAAGGCTCTTCAACCTAACTCTATGATCCTCCATCTCTTTATTGGTTAAAATGGATAATGTTCCTCCACAATAGAGCTTATCAGATGAAATGAAATAATGTACATACAAGCCTTGACCCTCACTAACCAACCACTGTTACTATGATTATTATTATTACTGGCTGACGGAGACCACTGGAGGAAGGACTTCTTGGAGACAGTCCCTGGGGGTGGCCTAATTGTACTACAGGAGTTTCCAAGGACATAAAAATTAAACCAGTGTTTTTGTAAAAAAGACATCTGTGAGATATTTCTATTTCTGCCTCATTGCAGAGAGCTAGAAACTAATTCCCAGTACTTTTTAAAGTATTCCCTACTAGGTCTCCAGTAACCTTTGACCCTAGTAATTAAACAGCAGAACAAGCTGCTTCTGGTCCTGGGTACATAAGAGGAGAAGAACCTGGGGAGATGATAGAGAGGATGTTGTGTGTCTGAGATGGGAGGAGGACTTCAAAGACGTGGCAGAGTGCAGGAGCCATGGAACTCAAAGGGTGCTGTGGGATTTCTGCCTGCCTAGAGCTCTGGTAGCATAGTGCCTAAGGCACTTGACTGTTTACCAGAAGGCTGGCGGTTCAAACCCACCAGCCACTCCTCGGAAGGAAGGTTGGGCAATCCTACTTCCGTAGTGATACTGCCTCGGAAACCCAAGGAGGGGTCGCTATGAGTCAGGGCCGACTCGACGGCAAACAACAGCAACAGTCAGCTAAAAAAAAAACCAAACCAAACTTACTGCCATCGAGTTGGACCTGACTCATAGTGACCCCTCTTTGGGTTTCTGAGGCGGTATCACTACAGAAGTAGATCGCCCAATCTTCCTTCCAAGGAGTGGCTTGTGGGTTTGAACTGCCAACCTTCTGGTTAGGCACTATGCCACCAGAGCTCCCAGCTAGAACCCAGGAAGCACCCTGTGGAAGGGCAGTTAGACTGAATTTACATGGGGATGCAACCAAGGGCAAGGTCCCTGGATGGTGCAAGGGGTTTGCTCTCAGCTACTAACCTAAAGGTTGGTGGCTTCCAGGCGCACTGCAGATGAAAGGCCTGGCAATCTGCACCCATAAGATTACAGCTAAGAAAACCTTATGGAGCAGTTCTGCTCTATCACATGGGGTCACCAAGAGTTGGAATTGACTCAGTGGCAATGGGTTTGGCTTCCAATAGCGAAAGCTTTTAGACCAATAAGGAAATCCAAAGATGACGACAAACTGGGGAGTGTAATTAATGGTTTCCATGCAGGTCTTAGGAGCTCTGGTAGCATAGTGCCTAAGGTACTTGACTGCTCACCAGAAGGCTGGCGGTTCAAACACACCAGCCACTCCTCGGAAGGAAGGTTGGGCAATCCTACTTCCGTAGTGATACTGCCTCAGAAACCAAGGAGGGGTCGCTATGAGTCGGGGCCGACTCAACGGCAAACAACAACGACAACAACAATGCAGGTCTTGGCATAAGCATGAAGTGTTGATACAGGGTTTTATCTGCTTAAATGATTTGGGGTGGGAATGGTGGAAAAAAAGCTAAAGGGAAGAATCCACTTATAAGGGTGTGGGCACACTTTGGACCTGCCTGCCCTGCAAGATTCATAGTGAGAAGTGCTGGCCCAGGCAGGTGACAATGCTGCCAGCCTATGTCCATTCAGATGCAAGCCTCTGCTTCCTGCCTCCCCCAAGCCACGTACTTGACCTGCCGTCCAGGCCTGCTGACTTCTGAGGACTGCCTCGCATCACAGGACCCAGGCATCATGGGCTGGATGGGCTGGCTCAGCAACAGCCTGTGAGCAGAGGAAGAGAGAAGCAGGAAACTTACCAGCACCCAAAATGTAAGCTTGCTGGTATTTGGCAGCATGTGCCCAGCCTGGCAGGGATCTTCTATAGCTGATCCTAATCCTTGTTCCTCCTGGGTCTGTTCTCAGAGGACAGTGAATACAGGGGTCACCTTCTCTGGTCATTAGGATCCTGCCCTGCTGCTTTATAAGGCCTCAATAGTCAGAAATGCTCAGTAACCATCTGCTGAGTCTATTATTGCTGGCTGATGGAGAACACAAGAGGAAGGACTTCTTCATTAGCTGAGATAAACTGCAGAGGCTTTAGAATCTGAATGTCTGAACTCTGCCCCCACCTGTAGTACAAAGAAGAGCTGAAATGGATACCATAAAACTTATCTTTGAAACAAGGGCAGTCGCCATACCTGAGCTGCCGATCATGGCTGAAGTCCGGGCTGGTCTGGCACTGACTGGTGTCCTGGGTGGCAGAAGCAGGTGTGGTCAGGTTCAAGGCTGGTGGGAGCACGGCTGCAGCACTGTTGAACTGGGATGTCAAGCTACTCACCGAATGGCTGCTTCCCTGCAGGATCTGTGAGCTTCGCACTGGCTTCGGACCCTGGAGCATCATTTTAATGAGAAAGGTAAAACTTAGACTGAAATTAGGTGTCACTTCTCCAGGAACCCTTCCCAGAACTCCTCTTTCTACTCACACTGGCCTTTCCTCTAACTTACCAGCACGAGCTGCTGTCAATCCTGACTCATGGTGACCCCAAGTGTGTCAGAGTAGAATTGTGCTCCACAGGGTTTCAAGGGCTGATTTTTCGGAAGCAGCTTGCTAGGCCTGTCTTCTGAGGTGCCTCTAGGTGAACTTGAACCTCCAACCCTTAGGTTAGCAGCTGAGTGCCTTAGCCATTTGCACCATCCAGAGATTTCTCGTCTAACTTGAGATGTACCAAATATTTATTATTTTGATCTTGTGACTGTCTTTCCCATTGGGTTGTGAGCACCTCAAGGATTTTTTCAATCTGTTGGGCCTAGGATAGTGCTGGACTCTCAGAAGCAAGCAACACATGTATGTGGAACTCACGTGCTTTCTTCTTCACACATTTTACTCCAGACTCAATGACCTCCTTGCCATTTCCCCAACTCACCAGGTCCCACTGCCTCAGAGCCTCTGTACTTGCTGGTCCCTCTATCTGAAGTGTTCTTCCCCTGATAATAATATGTGTCATCCTCTCACCCCCTTGGGTCTTTGCTCACATCACCTTCTCATAGAGGCTCTTCCTAGCCTACCAGTTCAAAACACAACCCATCACCCTACCTCAACCAGCATTCCCACACTAAGTTGATGTACTCTAACTCTTATTTGTCTCTCTCCCCCTTGGATCAGATTCTTTTTTGTTGTTGTTTGCTACTGTACCTCAGTGCCTAGAATTTAATGCCTAGCCTGCCTTAGGAGCTCAATAAATACTTGTTGAATAAAATAAAAAAATGAATGAGGGAACAGACTTGGATTTGCTTTGAATTTTCTATTGTCTCATTGACTGTCCATTCATATGGTGATGCCACAATGCTTTAGTATTTATAGTTTGTATAAAATCTTCTAGTATCAGTTAGTGTGAATCCTACCTCTTTTTTCTTTTCCAAAATTTTCTTGGCTATTCTCACTTTTTTTTCTGATGAACTTTAGAATCAAAGGCTTTAATCATTAAATGTAAAATCCTTAAATTTGGGTAAAGATGGCCTAAAATCTTTTGTACATATCCTTATCTACATTGTGTTGTAAATTATCTGTTTAAGTTTCTAGAGTCCTCACTAGACTAGAAACTTCTTGAGATTAAGGGCAACTCTTTTGTGTATGTGTGTGTCTGAATATGAGTCTCTATTGCTCTGGGATAAGTGCTCAGGGGGGCAATTGTTGGATACTATAACAATTGCATATTTGTTTTCTAAAGAAACCACCAAACTCTTTTGAAGTATGGCTATATCATTTTACATTCCCACCAGCAATGTATGAGTAAGCCAGTTTCTCCACATCCTTGCCAACATTTAGTGGCACCACTTTTAATTTCAGTAATTCTATTAAGTATGTAAGGAGCTCTGGTGCCTAAGGCATTTGACTAGTAACCAGAGGTTGGTGGTTCAAACCCACCAGCTGCTCTGCAGAAGGAAGATGGGGCAATCTATTTCCATAAAGACTTACCACCTTGGAAACTTAATGGGTGTCATGAGTTCGAATTGACTCGATGGGTGTTTTTTGTTTTAAAATAAGTATGTAGTGATATTTCATTGTGGTTTTAATGACCATTTCTCAAATGGCTAATGGTGTCTAACATGTTTTCCTGTGCTTACTTGCAGTGGTGGATCAGTGGCAGACTTCTTGCTTCCCATGCAGGAAACCTAGGTTTGATTCCCTGTCAATGCACCTCCAGCACAGCCACCCGTCTATCACTGGAGGCTTTCGTTTTGCTGGGACGTTGAACAGGTTTCAGCAGAGCTTCCAGACTAAGACAGACTAGAAAGAAAAGCCTGGTGATCTATTTTCAAAAATCAGCCAGTGAAAACCCTGTGACTCACAATGGCCCGATCCCATTATGCATGATGTAGCCGAGTCAGGGGCTGACTCCACATCAGCTAACAACACCACCTATCATTTCCAGCACTATACTGAATACAAATGGTGAGAGTGGACATCTTAGACAGAAAGCATTCAGTCTTTCACCATTAAGTGTATTTTTTAGCAGTAGACCTTTTATAGATGTTCTTTATCAAGTAGAAAGTTCTATTCATATTTATCTGAGAATTTTTTTTAAAAATCATAAATGGGTATTAAATGTTGTCAAATGCTTTTTTGGCATTGATTTAAGGACAACTCTTATTCATCTTTGTTCCCCTGGGGCTTGGTGTTTAACAGAATCCACAAAAGCATGTGTGACTGTAAGAGTTTGTGGGAAGCTCTGATGTAGACTGTCTTCCAATCTGCGATGAAGCAGGGCCTTGGGGATTCTTAGCTCCATTCAATTCGAAGGCCATTTATTGATTGGTGACCAGGTCAGATTGTGAGGTCAATGGTAGCTTGTAAAGTGTGGAAATGGCTGAGAGGGACAGTTTGGCAGGGAATCTGGGGGCAGGGAGAAAAATGGTAGTTCTGGGGAAAGGGACAATGACCAGAACTGGATCACGTGTGTTCTCACACTGATAATGGCTAAAACTAGAAGTAGATGATGGGGACTGATTATAGGCACATAAGGCTCTCAGTGTGAGTGTCTGGGATTCCATATCTACTTTTAACCCAAATCAGGGTCAAAGCTGAAAGCTTTAGCTGCATGGTACCTTAAAAGCCAAGAGAGAGGCATTGAGGTAGACATTCATAAAACACAGAAGGAAGCCACTACAATGTGGGGCTTCAAATTGACTCAAGAAAAGAGAAGAAAAATAACCCATCATAATCTGCTCTGGGCCAGTAGAGGAATGAGTCTGTAGGCTTCCAGGCCATGTAGGCTGCAGGTATCAAAGTAGCCCTGGTCTGCATGAGTGTGTCTGTTCCAATGGCAAGGACTGAATTTGCAGACAGAGCATGCTTACCTGGTTTGATATCACACTTGATTCTCTAAGCAAGTGCTGGTTTGTGATCTGGGCTGAGGCAATCTGCCCTGTCAGTTGCGGGCTGGACACAAGCTGGGGCTGGGACACTGCAGTGGACCTCTGGTGTAACTGCTGCTGGGCCTCGGGATGTGAAGCGCTGCTGAGGCTCAGGCATACTGCTGGCTGCTGCAGAAACATCTGGGAGCAAAACAGAAACACCTTTACTCTAAGGTTGGGATCACATGTGCTTTGGAGGTCGGCACCTTCACGTATTTCCCATCCATGTGATGAACTCACCTTTGTTGCTCTGTCTGACCTGTCTGGTTCAAACTGCCAACATTGTGGCTATTAGCTAAGAGGAAAAAAAATGCTTACTCCACCCAAGAACCTTACCTTATCATATCATATCATATCACATCGCATCAGACATATGTTAGTTCAAATTCCAATACTTCATTCACTTAACAAAGAGATAATGAATGGTACTCGCTATGACATAGCAAACACAATGCAAAGGAAATCTGGAAGATGCTACCGGTCAACTGACTAAAGAGATCCATATTTGTACCCATTCCAAAGAAAGGTGATGCAACACAATGTGGAAATTATCAAACAATATCATTAATATCACATGCAACTTAAACTAAATGCTGAAGATAATTCAAAAACGGTTGCAGCAGTATATTGACAATGAATTTCCAGAAATGCAAGCTCGATTCAGAAGAGGACGTGGAATGAGGAATATCATTGCTGATGTCTGATGGATCTTGGCTAAAAGCAAAGAATACCAGAAAGATGTTTGCTTGTGTTTTATAGACCATGCAAAAGCATTCAACTGTGTGGATCATAACCAATTATCGATAACATTGAGAAGAATGGGAATTCCAGAACACTTAATTGTGCTCATGAGGAACCTGTACATAGACAGGAGGCTGTCATTCTAATAGAACAAGGGGTAACTGTATGGTTTAAAATCAGGAGGGGAGTGAGTCAGGGTTGTATCCTTTCACCATACTTAGTCATTTTTTATGCTGAACAAATAATTCGAGAAACTGGACTATATGAAGAAGAATGCAGCATCAGGATTGGGGGAAGGCTCATTAACAACCTGTGATACGCAGATGACAAAACCTTGCTTGCTGAAAGTGAAGATAACTTGAAGCACTTACTGATAAAGATTGAAGACTACAGTCTGGTTTACATCTACATAAAGAAAATGAAAATCCTCACAACTGGACCAATAGGCAGCATCATGATAAATGGAGAAAAGACTGGAGTTGTTGAAGACTTCTATTACTTGGTTCCACAAACAACACCTGTGGAAGCAGCAGTCAAGAAATCAGACAGCATATTGTACTGGGCAAATGTGCTGCAAAAGACCTCTTTAAAGTACTGAAGAGCAAAGATGTCTTTTCGAAGACTAAGGTACACCTAACCTAAGCCATGGTACTTTTAATTGCCTTATATACATGTGAAAGCTGGAAAATGAGTAAGTAAGACTGAAGAAGAGTCAATGCTTTTGAGTTTCAGTGTTGGTGAAGAATACTGAAAGCACCATGGACTGCCAGAAGAACTAACAGACCTGTCCTGGAAGAAGTGCAGCTGGAACGCACCTCGGAAGCGAGAATTGCCAGACTTCGTCTTACCTACTTTGGTCATGTTGTCAGAAGGGACTGTTCCCTAGAGAAGGATATTATGCTTGGTAAAGTGGAGGGTCAGCAAAAAAGGGGAAGGCCCTCAACAAGATGGATTGACACAGTGGCTGTAACAATGGGCTCAGGTATAGCAAGGATCATGAGGCTGGCCCAGGACCGGGCAGTGTTTCGTTCTGTTGTACATAGGGTCGCTATGAGTTGGAGCTAACTCAATGTCACCTAACAACCACAGTGCATCCCAACCCCCCAACCTCCCTACTCCTCTACCACCCTCATCCCTGACAGCACTTTTGAGAGGGCACTAGTCGCTTTAGAAGTTAAGAAGAATTTTCTTGGCATCTGTCGCCTCAAATTGAGTAGTACCCACACATTTGAGGATTAGTGCTGCATATAATCCCAGCAGCTACCTATTACAATATGGCTTATTTATAGGTACAGAATAACAGACTTCATCACTTCAGCAAAAATCCAATATGCAAACACAATAACATATTTTTCTAATAGGAAATGATTTTCCTTCTCGTTAGAATTCAAATAAATGTAGGTTTTTTTTTTTTAAGTTAGAGGCAGTAAGAACTGAATCCAGCTCAATGCTATAGAGTCAGTTCTGATTCACAGTGCCCTCTGTGGTGTGTTACAGAGTAGAACTGCCCCCACAGGGTTTTCTTGGTTGTAGTTTTTACAGAAGCAGATCACTAAGCCTTTCTTCTGCAGCTCAGCTGGGTGGGTTTGAACTGCTAACCTTTTGGTTAGTAGCTGAGAGCATACTGCTCACACCACCCAGGAACCTTAAATTAGATACATGTTAGTTCAAATTTCAACCCTATCATCTATTAGTGGAATACTGCCCCCAAATAAACCACTGCCATCAAGGCAATTCCTATTCATAGTGACCCCCATTGGGTTTCCAAGGTGGTAAATCTTTACAGATGCAGATTGCCCCATACACCTCCTGTGGAACAGCTGGGTTTGAACCTCCAAACTTCTGGTTAGCCATCAAATGCCTTAGGCACTGTGCCATGGCATTGGGTATTTTTGTAATTTCTCAAGGTTTTGTTTCCCTCAATAACAATATAGTGAAATTAACAGCACATACCTCTTAAAGGATTGAGATTAATGCATATGAAGTCCCTGAAACATGCTCAATAAATATGAGATAAAAACAATAGTATTTAAAATTTCAAAAGGAGCTTTTTGTTCCTCTGCCTCTTTGGACATATAAAAACTATTTGATAAATGGGTGAATGGAATAGATAAATTAATGAAAGAACAAATAAATGTAGCCTTTGCTCAAAGAATGGCAAACTTTTCTATTTGTGATATGTAACAGACTGCTTTGTCTGCTACTCTGTCCCACTGATGTGGGCTTTAAAAGGGTAGAAACCCTGTCCTGTTTATCTTTGTATCCCATGGTGACTAAGCAAATGCCTGGTACATAATGGGATGGATGGATGGATGGAAGAACCAATCAAGGAACTTGTTATCTGCCACTGCTGATGTTCTTGAAGGCTTTCCTTTGAGAACCCAGCAGAGGGTGCACATGCTCTCAAAAAGAGAGCAAGAAGCGGGCAGCCTACTGCTGACTGGAGGAGATAAGAGGGAATACAGCCTTTCAGCAGAACAGCTCTTGCCCAAGCAGAGTCCTTCAGGACCCCATCTGCGTGCAAACACCAACATCCCTGTGGACCTCTCCCTCACAAATCAACCTTTTCTGAAAAAAGCCATGTATAGCAAGCATTACAAGTGCACTGTCTCAATAAACACTCTGAGCCATGAAAGTAAGTGTAAAGTCTAGTCAAGTTTGGATACAGGTCCTGGTGCTGAGAAATCCTGCTTTGCTGATGTGCATGCCTGTACCTCTGTCATTGACAATAAAGCACAATGTCATGGCTGAAGAACATGGTGTAAGAAGATGATTTCCTTGGGCTCTACGGTCAATTTTATAAAAAGCGTAAGAAAGACTAGTTCCATAATTCAAGTAGGAAAAAGTTATAGGAGAAAAAATACACATCTAATTTTCAAAAGCAAATCAATCCTCCTTTCACATGTAGTATTTCATTATTCTTTTCTGCTTACTTTAAAAAAATACTGGTGGTGGTGGTTGTTATATGTCGTCAAGTTGGGCCCGACTCATAGCGACCCCTCCTTGGGTTTCCAAGGCAGTAAATCTTTATGGAAGTAGATTGTCCCATCTTCCTTCTGAGGAGTGGCTGGTGGGTTTGAACCGCCAGCGTTCTGGTTAGCAGTCAAGCGCCTTAGGCACTATGCTACCAACATTTCTGAAGTAAACAAAACTAGGGAAATAATGTAACAAACCCTTATGTATTATCACGTAGTTTCAACAGTTATCAATATTTTGCCATTCTTTGTTCATCTATTCTACTTTTTTTTGAGGGGGGGGGCTGGAGTAATTTATACCTGCTTCTTCTTTTTTTTTTTAATACTTGCATCATACAGGTTTTTTTTTCCCCCTTAAATAAGTATCTTATTTTAGTCAAACAATTTGCAATGTATTTCTTTCAACTGCCCAGGGACTCCTCATTAAGTCTTTAAACTTGCAAAAAAGCAACAAGGCAAGCTGCTTGAAGAAATGTTTTCTGGCTTGACTTGTTATGGATTTCCGTGTTCTGGTGGAAAATTCCACTGCAAAGCTAAGGACACAGGGATGAGAATAGGAAGGAACGCACTGTAGGGCAGACAGTCTGAGGGCCTTGTTTCCAGCTCTCCTCCCTTCCAGAACTCAGGCGCTCTTCTGGCACATGTATTTTTTGGGCTCACAAAACAATATTTGTAATTGAGAAGGAAAAATCATTTTTCCCCCAGTTTGTACATTCAGGTTTAATGTCTCTGGTTATCTGATTTTCCAAGCACATAGCCTGGAGATCTAGTTAAGTTTGTTGTTGACGCGAGCTGCCATCAAATCAGCCCCTGAATTGTGGCCACCCCATGGATAGCAGAGCAAAATGCTTAGCCCTGCAGCACCACCGTGATTAGTTACTGATCAGAGGGTTGGGATCCGTAGGGTTTTTGCTGGCTCATTTTCAGAAGTAGATTGCCAGGCCTTTCTTTCAAAAATAAATATTCTTGGTAAAAAAGAGTGAAAGAAATATGTATGTTACCTGTTATGTTAAAGTCCAGCTTTAAAGTTGAAAAGGCAGGAAATATGAAAGGCCAGGCTCTGAAGAAAATGTTCGTATACCCACCTGACTTTTAGCAGTTTCTGGTTCAATTTTCCCTTTCCTGTGAGTGTGAAAATTCCATTAAAATAACTGGAGTTAAGCAAGCTGTGGTTACCACACAGGCAATGGATCAGTGAAAAATTATTACAGCTGGGAAGGAATAAGTGAAAAGGACTTTGACACCTTGGTTTCTTTGTATTTACAATCTGCAGTCTTCTTCCTTGGCAATTTCCTGGGTGGAGGGGAAGAGGTGGGCGAGAGAGAAGCAAGCTAAGTGATGCTTAGTGTGCTGCAGGCTGGCAGTGAGCCTTGCACACTTGCAGGCCTGGGGCAGGGAGGTAGCAGGATCTGTGTGTTAAAGGTGAGGGGAGGGTGAGCTTGGGCCCTGAGGGTTGTGCAGGGCAGAAAAGCTGGAAAGCAGGGAGGCAAGGATGGCCGGAGTGAGGCTGCTCTTGTGGCCCAAGAAAACAGCATCATCATACATTAATCTCTGGCATGCTCCCACCATGACAGCTGTGCCTAGATAGTGCCTGGTGTACCATAGGGGTTACTGTGTTTTAGGATGTTGGGTGTCCAGTGAAGAACCAATGTGGACATGAAGCAGGATAAAGTGGCAGGGGACAATATTCCAGCCATTCTCATCAGCTGTCCCTTCTTCATTCTGCCTCTGTAGAAAAAACCAGTTGCTATCAAGTTGATTCTGACTCCTGGCGTCCATGAACCTCCATAGGACTTTCAATGTCTCATTTTTCAGAAGGAGACGGCGAGCCTGTCTTCTGAGATGCCTCAGGGTGGGTCTGAATCCTTAATCTTTTGGTCAGTGGCCCAGCACTTAACCATTGCACCACCCAGGGATCTGAGTCTTTCAGAAGGGGGCATGGAAACATGCAGAGCTCTCTGAGAAGACTTCAGTTTTAGCCAGCATTACATTTACAGTTAAAGCCTGTATCAAAATAATGCATTATTTCCCCTCTGAAGAACCATAGTCATGGGCTGATATAACTGAAACTTGGTAAAAATAACTTATCTTTGCAAGAAGACCGACATATCAAGTTTTTCCTCCAAAAAGAATCTCTCCAAAAGATTCAAAGAAATGTAGGCTGTGGGTAATAGTGAAAGCTTCCGTCATCAGATCATGCAGTGCATCCCAACTGATGTGGCACAGTGGGGAGCAGGGGTGCAGGGTGCTGACCACCAGGCTCCAGCATCCTCTGTGGTTGCCCTCAGAGGGTAGGACCAAAAGCAAAAGAACAAAAACCTATTGCCACTGAGTTGATTCTGACTCAAGGTGAGCCGTCTGTTAACAGAGTAGAACTGCTCCACGGGGTGTTCTCGGCTGTAATCTTTTTGGCAACAGATCACCAGGCCTTTCTTCTTTGGCACTGCTGGTGCGTTCAAACTACCAACTTTTAGGTTAGACGTAAACTCGTTTGTGCCATGCAGAGACTTGCAGTGCAGTACGAATACCAAAATTACCTATACCCTGCCTTGAATCATGAGAGGGAACAGGGAAGAACTGCTTCCTCCGATAAACACAAAGTTACACGGGTGCCGGGGGCTCATAGTCCAAAACTGACTGGGCAGACAGTGGAGGGCACTCACTCACTCACCAGCACCTGAGTGAAAATGGAGGCAAAGCAGCTAATCCTGTGTACCCATCAGGGTGACAGGTGAGGGGAGAGGATGTCATGGGAATTTCATGCTTAGCTTGGTGACGGAGTAGGAGGAGATGAAATTAATTCCCTTTCTTTGTACTTGGTCCATGGAGGTGTCAACATGCTTAGTAAACAGGACCCATAAAAGCAGCATGGAGGGGCTTTGGAGGAAGTCCCGCCTGCTCTGAATGTTGGGTAAGTTTACATCAGAGAGAGGCAGGGAGGAGGGAGACAGCAGCCAGAGCCACTGGCTCAGGAACGGGGCATCACCTGGATGTTGGAGTCCTGCACCATGCAGAGCTGCTCCTGGATCTTATGCAGCTCTTCCTGCTGCCACCGGATGTTGGCTTGCAAGATCCGTGTCCGCTGCTCCAGCTGGTCTTTGATGGTTTGAAACATGCTGAACTGTGCTGAAAACTTCAAGTTGGAGTAAAAACAAAACAAAACCAGATGCAAGAGTTATTCCAGCCTTGCAAACAGACCTCTGCTACTCTTTTGATCAGTCCTGTCCATTTTCATTTCTAGTTCCTTATGTAGCCTTCCCTGCATTCCTAAGGGACCCCACTCCTGGTGAGTTCTTGGCAGTGGACAGCAGCTGTGGAAGAGGGATGTGACCTGGTCTCAGGACACTATTACAGCTGTTGTGGGTGGTAGTGGTTGCTGGCCAGACAATTCCAAATCATGATGACCCCATGTGTGTCAGGGTGGAACTGTGCTCCACAGGGTTTTCAATGACTGATTTTTTGGAAGTAAATTGGCAGGCTTTCTTCTAAGGTGTCTCTGGGTGGATCCAAACCACAAATCTCTCAGTTAGCAGCTAAGCTCATTAACTGTTTGCACCACCCAGAGGCAGAGAATACTCTTATTCTTTATATTAAACTCACCCATGCAGACTGGCTGTTACTTGCTCAAGATCACACAGCTGGGACCACGGTAGCAGGGCCAAAATGTGAATTCAGAGTGTAGGAGCTGGGTGAAGCCAAGAGGTTTCACCAGCAACCTCCCACCCCACCCTCACCTCGGTCAGAGTGGTTTCGACATAAGACTTCATTTGAAAGAAAGGTTCTGCTGCTAAACAGGAGTTAAAAATACCTACAGGATACCAGACTGTGACACAAAAGCCTCCATCAGGATGCAACTAATTAAAGCACTCTGCTGGGATTTTAAAAGAGAATGAGATTGAGAAAGAAAATAAGCTCTATCAAGTACTTAATTAAAAAAGCGAAACACCAAAGCTTCAGTGGTGGGGTCTGTGAAGTCAAGGAGCATTCAGGCACAGGCACTTCCCCTTCCATGTCCAGTGGAGAGGACTGTGCATTAGGAATCAACTCCGAGCGCGACAGTGAGGGCTGGGCAGTCCTCGAGGATCCCAGGCCCTGGGTCCGACAGAGTCAGCACTGAACTTACGTGTTTGTTACTTCTAGAATTATTTTTAGTTTTTTCAAGGCATTTCAGGACACCCAGTTATTAGTCAGTCATTATATTCTTTATCTTTTTTGATAAAGAAAAGAGATCTATTCTAACTTAGAAATAATTAGAAACACGGTATGAAGCAAAAGAGGCTTTTTGGAGAAACCACCCCTTTCCCAGAGTGGGGGGTGGTTGTGCTACAGTGATGACATCAGCAATGGGGAAGAGGAGAATAAATGCATCTCCTTGTTTCACATGGGATGGGTATGAGAAAAACTGCCTTGGAAGTCTGTATAAGGCCATTAACTGAAAGGCTGGCAGTTGAATCCTCTTAGCCACTCCATAGGAGAAAAGACCTGGTGAGCTGCTCCTATAAAGATGACATCCTAGAAAACCCTAGAGAACAATTCTACCATATCATACAGGGCCACTGTCAAAATCCACTCAACAGCACCTAACAGCAAGCAACTGCTTAAAGAAAATAGTTAATATAAAGTATGAAACTCACTGCTATCAAGTTGATTCTGATTCATAGTGACCACCATAGGGTTTCCAAGGCTGTAAATCTTTATGGAAGTAGATTGCCTCATCATCCTCCCACAGAGCAGATGGTGGGTTTGAACCATCATCCTTTAGGTTAGCAGCCAAATGCCTTACCCACTGTGTCACTAGAGCTCCTAATATTAAGTATAGTAATAGAAAGTGTGGTTGTTGTTGTTGTTATGTGCCATTGAGTCGGCCCTGACTCCTAGTGACCCCTCCTTGGGTTGCTGAGACAGTATCACTATGGAAGTAGATTACCCAACCTTCCTTCTGAGGAGTGGCTGGTGGGTTTGAACCGCCAGCCTTCTGGTTGGCAGTCAAGTGCCTTAGGCACTATGCTACCAGAGCTCCTGATTACTATTAATAAAATGAAGTTCAATAAATGAGAAAGTAGAATTGCCAAAAGGCCTTAGTCACAATACTATGTATTATAAACACAGAAATTCTTTACTATGCAAGACCCAGAAGTTAAAGGAATTCTCGCTTCATGTGCCTTTGAATTAAAAACGTTATTAATTTAATACCAAGTGTTCTTAGACACTTGAAGAGAAAAAGATTATTTATTTCTCGCCTAGTGAGGATGAATATGTTGTTGTTGTTGTTTGCCGTCGAGTTGGCCCCGACTCATAGCGACCCCTCCTTGGGTTTCCGAGGCAGTATCACTACGGAAGTAGGATTGCCCAACCTTCCTTCCGAGGAGTGGCTGGTGGGTTTGAACCGCCAGCCTTCTGGTAAACAGTCAAGTGCCTTAGGATGAATATAGGTTATTTTAATTAGTAAACTCTGGCTGAGTAGCTGATATGTCATTAATCCAAAACCAATCACTGTTGAGTTGATTCCAATTGAAATCAACCCCACAGGACAGAGTAGAACTGCCCCATGGGGTTTCCAAGGCTGTAATCTTTATGGAAACAGAATGCCTCATCTTCCTCTGTGAAACAGCTGGTGGGTCTGAATCGCTGACATTCTGGTTAGCAGCCAAACGCTTTACCCACTGCCACTAGGCTCCTTATTACATCATTGATGATGTTGTTGTTATGTGCTGTCGAGTCAGACCCGACTCATAGCAACTCCTCTTTGCGTTTCCGAAGTGGTGTCACTACGGAAGTAGATTGCCTAACCTTCCTTCCAAGGAGTGGCTGGTGGGTTTCAACCGCCAGCATTCTGGTTAGCAGTCAAATGCCTTAGATACTTCACTACCAGAGCTCCCATTTGTTAGATCATTAAGCTGGCCTAATTCTAACAAGAAGTATACGCTAGCATGTGTCTTTTTTATTCAAGGGAAGCATTACAAGCCCATTGCTAAAAGGGCATATGTTCTGAAATAGTTTTCATCAGTAGTGACAGATTTGCCCCAAGACAGAGAAGTCCACATTCTGGCCAGCAGCAAACATTGGCAAATCGCTCCCTGGGACTCAGGTCTAGTTTGTGGTCAGGGACTAGGGCAGAGCTTACTATCCCATATTGTTGTTGTTGTTGTGTGCTGTCGAGTCAATTCTGACTCACAGTGACCCCACAGAACAGAGCAGAACTGCCCCCCTAGGCTGTAATCTTTACAGGAGCAAATTATTGGATCTTTTCTCCCACAAAGCTGCTGGTGGGTTTGAACCATTAACCTTTCAGATAGCAGCCGAGTGCTTAATAATTTATGCCACCAGGTATCCTTAAATATCTCATAAAGGACTTGAAATCATGGTTCTGGCCTTATGAGCATATACTCCAATCAGTTCAAGTGTTCTGTGTGAGGTATGTTGGAGGTTTTCATTCCCTGCTGAAGACATACCTATGTCCCTCTTCCCCCTCTTGATTCATTTCTCTATCTGGCAACCTCCTATCCATCTTTCCAGGCCCAGCCCAGCCATATTGGGCTTCCGTAGGCAAATATTTTCTGAATGGGTCTATAAAAATACATGCCCTGCTACAGGGTGTTTGCTCTGTTTACATACCTTTCAGGACTTTCAGGAGTCAGAAAAGGCAAGTGCTGTGTTACAATCATGTTTGCACCCTGACACCTACTTAGCACACTGACTGACCCAAATAGAAACTCACTTAATGTTTTTTTTTTTTAAAAAAATAGACAGACATAATGGGAAGTTATTATCTTAGCGAATGTCTCGTGTATGTTTTCACCACAATGAAAGTAAAATAATAATTAAAAAAAGAACCCAAAACACAAAACAAAAAAACCCACAATATTTGTAGCAGTGGACTCTCAGCTTATAGATCCCCTCAGAGTCTTCTTATGACATTTAGCCTAATTCAGACCTTTTCTAAAAGATCATGGCCGAAGAGAGAAACAAAAAAGAATGACACAGAGATGAACAAAGATTATTAAAAAGACTGAAAAACAGACAATGGAGAAAAGAACTTGGAGAATTTATCTGGAGAAGTCAAGAATGGCAGGAGAAGATGGGTGTAGGGATGCTGATGACCAGAAAACTCAAAATGCCAGCTGACCCACTTGCATTTTGGGAGAAGCAGCCCCTATGTAGGGCCTTGGTTTGGTACCTGTGAGCATAAACATGCACCAGCACCAATGCACCCACAAGCTCAAGAGGCTGGCATGAATTGGTCTAGGGAGGTGTTGTTGCCAGGTCCTCCTTTCCCTGAGCCCCAGACTCACCTGTGTCATTGGGGCAGGTGGGCTCTGCAAAATGGTCTGAGGCAGTAACTGCTGTGCAAGGTCACAGGAAGACTGGGAAAGCAGAGGAGGCTGGGGAAGGAAAAAGGCTTTGTTAACAAACACGTTGTGTGGGTGATTATGGAGACACAGGGGTTCTGTCTCCAGAGGTCTGGTTTGTCTGGCTTAAAGAAGGAGACACTTCTGCATTAGACTGAATAGTTGAACATCAACACTTCCTATTCCCCAGGAAAAGGTGGAGATAGCAACAGAAGCGTATCCATGGAGAGTAACGCCTATGGTCATTAGGTTTAAATTGCTGGATGATTTCTCACAGCTGGCAATGGAAATTATGATGGCAAATAGAAACTGCTCATTCGTGGTACCTCCCCACCTCAAGTGGCACCCAGGGCATGTGCCGTACTTGTCATTCCCTAGATACGCTTCTGGATAGCAGGCTGCACTGCTTTCTATGCAGAGAATGGGGTCAGAGAGGACACAGGCTGGTATCGGGTGCAGGTAGCTCCCCAGCAAGTTCCCACAGCCACTCCAGGGACCACAATTCCTTCCTACCATGGTGTGTTCTGCAGAGCAGGTGCTATCTGTCTAAGCTAGCAGCTCTGCTTCCATTTCCTTTCCCTCCTGTTCTAAACTCCATCTTGACAAATTAGGTGACTCTTACCCCAGATGAACAGATCCTTAGCACTTCATTTTTTTTTTGCTTGTATATTTAGGAGCCTTTTTTTTTTTTTTT